GCATATTCGGAAGGGAAGAAACGGAACAGGGCTGGAGGCCAGCGGTTGGCTGCCTGGTTGGTTACGCGACGGAATCCGCACATGAGCCGGCGGCAAAAGTCAGCCCGCCATGGCGTGCTGGACCGTTAAATTATGTGCATGTAGCCGGCGCCGAGTTTTTTAACCGCAGGGGATGAGAGGGAACCGGCAGCAGCAGATTCACAGGCATGTGACCGTCGCCAACTGCCGCCAACGGGCAACGGACTACCCCGGCACGGCAACGGCAAGCAGCGTGGCGCGCATACGCACGCACCCTAGAAAACTCGATCGGCGTCATGTGATACAGGTAGGATTCGATTTTACACCGAACCAACGGATATTCTCTGACGACTCCTTCCGCCTCCGAGCAATGGCCACAAAGCTGAGCATTTTTTTTTGACGAAACAAAGCTGAGCATTGTGCTTGTGCCTGCCATCTCGAGCCTGTTCCTGCCCAACTTGTGATCCAGACGACGACCTCGATCGGTTACCTTCCATATATCACATGGACAGGGCCCAAATTTCTGCGCGCTTGCGCGTGCCTTTCGCGGACATTTCCCCGTGCTCGTGCTCCGCGTCGACCTGCAGGTCCCGGCGCCGTTTGTTACCTAACGAAACGGGCAACTGGAGGCAGGCGGGCGCAGCGCAGGGACGGGCTGGCGGTCAGCAGGTGTGGCGCACATGGCGTGTAGGAGGAGGAGATGCGATTCGATGCAGGCAGCAGCGCTGCACGACACGAGGCCGGCCGCGTTCCACTTCCACACCACGCCCGAAGAAAAAACGCCTCGATCGGGAATTTCCTGGCGCGATGCGACGCAGACGCAGACGTAGCTGCAGGCCTGCAGCTGCGTTCTGGGGTCGACCTACTGAGCGAGCGAGGCCCAGCTCGTGCTCGTCCGGGGAAAACGCAAACGCTCCTGCAGATCTCTAGTCTGCGGATCGCGGTCGGAGTCAGTCAGTTGCCCGTGGGCCGGAGTGCTTGGGTAATCGGTGGATTACCATGGCGTTTAGTTGTAATTTCATATAAACTCTCTTCTCCTGCTTAATGAAAACCATGCCCGAGGCATGTTCGAGAAAAAAACTGTGCACAGACTGTTCATGCTTTTGTCGCGGAATCATCGTGACTGTGATGAAGAAGAGCTGGAGGGCTAGTACCGCATCTGCATGCACTCTTTTCCTGAGGTGACCAATCTAGGTTCTAGGACATTGACTGTGTTCTGTGTAGCATGTACTCCAGTCCATCCGTGCAGAAATGATAAATGTATTTCCATGAGAGAGAAAAAAAAACTCATATTTTTGCAAGTTTTTACTGATAATTAAAGGGCATATAACTTGCATAAAGTAGATTTTTATTCATAGTGACTCTAAGATGATATTAATTGTTTCGAGTGTAAATACAACGTAAGTGAAATTAGGGGTCAAAATCTATTTTGTAAAACTTTTTTCCTGATCAAACTGATGACGTATGGAGATGGTTCACTCTTCTGGGTCTTTAGTCTATACTTCTTCGTTCAAACATTCACCAGTGATTGTAAGAGAAAAAAAAAATACAGTTGCAAGCCTGCTCTAGTTGGCAAAAACGATCTTAGGCCCTGTTTAAATCACGTAGAACTAGTTTAGGTGGACTAAAGTTTAGTTGTAGGACCACTTTTAGTCTAGTGTTGTTTTAATACATGATGAACTAAAAGCAAAAAGCTTTTCTTGACATAGACTCATGAACACCTTTCAGTCCACATTTCCCAAGTAGTAGACTAATTATTAGTCCGATTGAGAACTAAAATTAGTTCGCTTTTAGTTCACCTGTTTGGATACCTAGGCCTAAAGTTTAGATGGTGGTATCCAAACCGGCCCTTAACAAAAATTAATGGTCAGAATCTACTTTGCATGACTTTATGCTAAGTATGATGGATGGTTCACTCTTCTAGGTCGATACTTCGTTCAGACATGTACGAGTGATTATAAGGAAAAGACGTATAGTTGCAAGCGCTAGAAAAAAAAACGCGCTGTGCGTCTTAACCAGTACAAACATAAATTTAGGGAGGAGGGGAGGGTCATCTCATCTTCAACTTCTACTAGGCAGCGAAAACTCATGAACTACCGAACCACTATAGGGGGCTTGAGCCCCCTCCCCCCTCCCACTACTGGCCTGTTGTGTTAGATCTACTTTGGTCATGACCGTCATCAGTGTTAGTCACCACCGACGTTATCTCTGGTGGAGACTTTGCCCGTTGAAGAATGAAGTTGATGACAAGGCTAATACTCCCTCCGGTCCGGTATATATATCTGGCGCGGGGAGGCTAATTGCAGAGACCAAGACGCTAATTAAAATCTATGTCGAATACAGCCACGCGGTCAGCCGAAACGTGGCCCTCCGTATTTTGCTCAACAGAAACGACGGGATAGGCCAGCGTCATCTACACATGCATGGAACAAGGGACTGCATGGGACAACAGACTCACCGAGAGAACGCTTCGTTTAACCGGCTCCATAATTAATTAACTCTCGGTTGTTGATACAAACGGCCGTGCACCAGATATTACGGCCAAACCAAAAAACGGACGTGCGCCAGATATAGAGGACCGGAGGGAGTACCTGTTATGGATTATTATCGTCAAGAAAGCTGATGGTGATTATGGCAAAAGTTCTCCCAAATGCAATAAATTATTCCTATTGTTTAGTAAAACTAAATATGTTTTTATGTAATGTAATCCATACAAATATAGAGAACACATCATAAATCACATATTATTTCTATAGTTAAACAAAGCTAAATGTTTTGCTATGTAATACTATAACCTGCATAAATACAGAAGACACATCACAAATACATAAATTATTTCTATAGTTTTGTAAAACTAAATGTTTTCGTATGTAATATAATTGACGTAAATGTAGAAGACACATCACAAATGCACAAATTATTTCTAGTCAGACAAAGCCAAATGTTTTGATATGTGATATAATCCGTGCAGAAGACACATCGTGAATGCATAAAAAATTTCTATAGTTAAGTAAAGCCAAATGTTTTTGTTACGTGATGTGATCCACACAAATGTTGTTTTGGTATGTGATGTAACCAACACAAATGCATAAATTATTTGTATAGTTAAGCAAAGTAAACCATTTTGGTATATGATGTAACCAACACAAATATAGAACATATACATCACAAATAAACAAATTATTACTATAGTTAAACAAGCCAAATGTTTTGGTATCACGTAAATGAAGTAGAAGGAAAAAGAAAAAATAGAAGGAAGAAACAAAAATAAAATAAATGGAATGTAAAAAATTGTTATAAAGAGAAAAGCAAAATGGAATACAAAATGAAAGGAAAATAAAAGAGTAAAGAAAAACAATGCTACATTAGCACAAACCTACGCCACGCATCCACATTTCACCTCCATTGCACACATACATACGATACGACCGAGTAATAAAGAACCCAACGAAGAATCGTAAATGCACACGATGTGCGTAAGAACGAGCTGATAGCACTACGCTATGGTTCAAGTGCTCGAACGGGATGATTGGCGCTAGAATGGTGAAGTTCCTTGGTTAACTGCAATCGGTTTTATAACAAAGTTGTTGTCTTCTGAACCTGAATCTGGCGGCATAGACGAAGCCCAAGTTTGGAGAGCAGGCCGAAATGGTAAAAGACAGCAATTAGGCCCTGACCCGTACGTAGGCCCCTAGCAGATAAACTCGTGGGCAATGATTCTCAAAAAAAAAAAAGATAAACTCATGGGCATAAGGAGGTCTACGTGCACCAATCCCGCTGTGCCACGTGTGACAAACCGCGCGCACGATGACCACCAGAAACGAGGGGGCCGTTCGGCTGACTGGTTGCCAGCCAGCTGGCTGGTTTTATCTCTCACGAAATCACTATTCACGCACTACCAATGCGGTGATTTTCTCTCACAACAATCACCAAGAAAATAAGATTTTTTTCACCCGCGCGCGTGTTTCCAAGTTCCAATCCTCCACCACCAACCAGAGTCCAGAGACAATTCAGCCATGCCGCCGCCGTCCACCGCCGCTTCTGCCGCCGCGGCAGTCTCCTCCATTATCCGCCCGACGCCACCTCCGGCTCTCTCCTTCCACACCGTCCCCCTCCCACAAATCAGACGCTCAGCCGGCGCCGCTTCCCGGCTCGTCGCGGCGCGTGCCGCTGCCTCGTGGGCGAGCGGCGAAGGCGACGCCGAGACGGTGTTCTTCGACGGCGGTGCCCACCACGGCGACCTGGCGGCGAACCTGCTCCTGGGCCTGACTCTGCTGTGGCTGCCGCTGACGCTGGCGGCCGTGTCCCGCGCGTTCATCCTGCGGTACCGCTTCACCTCCCGGCGCGTGACGGTGGTGTCGGGGCTCTCCGGCGCCGACCGCACTGACTTCCCCTACTCGTCCGTGACGTCCGTGGTGGTCGTGCCGCGGTTCATCGGCGAGTGGGGCGACATCGTCATCACGCTCAAGGACGGCACCAAGGTCGACCTCAGGAGCGTGCCCAGGTTCCGCGAGGTCGCCGACTACTGCCGCTCCATGGCCGCCGCCGAGGGCTCCCTCGTCAGCTAGCGTCAGCGAGGGCCTAGCTGATGGCGGCGATCGAGGCTGTTCATAACCGGTTGAATTCAAAAATCTTGGTTCTGTTTCCTATGCGACGTACTACATCATCTGCAATTCTGCTGCACTATGAGAAATTATTTAACGGGTCATGATATCTTTCCAAGTTCCATACAAATCGATTTGGCAGACACATTCGGCCCAACGAAACGACATTGTTGTGATGATATCTGCAATCCCTGAAGCAGATTGCTTTGCAGACAATAGCATGTCAAAGCATAACAGATCATAGCAGCATGGTTTAGTGATTTATTGCACAGCTATGGCATGACGATTGACAATCATCTTGCAAAAGTGATGATAACAGAGTAGCTCTAAGTTGCAGCGTCACGTGAAAGGCACCAATCCGTAGAGGGCAGCACTCTATCACTGCACCTTCAACTCCATCACACTCTTGGCCTTGGGGGCGTAGAGCGCCGCTTGCCGCTTCGCGACCTCCAGCTGCTGCTTCCCCTTGGCGAATGCCACCGCAGCGGCTGGAGTGTCTTTGAGGGCACGGTTCTCACGGAACGCATCTGCAGCGCGGCGGCGTGTGTACTCGCGGATGTTGTAGTCGGAGAACTGCTTCACCGTGCGGAGGAAGGAGCGGAAGAGGAAAAGCACCTCTGCCCTCGTCAAAAGGCAGCTCTCGAGACGGGGAGAGCCGGAGCCAGAGAGGCCTGTTGCGAGCTGGTCTCTGTATCCTGTAGTAATGATCACCATGAGTAGATGTAGCAATGACCATATATGTGAATTTGAAAGCAGGGATCACCTTTGGAATCACAATATGATCTGTCAGATGTTGTATCGATCAACCTGCAGTAAGCCCTACGGCAGAGGGAGACACCTTGCCTAACATAAAGGCAGATAATTTATCAAGTGACACATAGTCAGGGAAGAAAAACAAAGCAAATGAGAAACCTGTGAACGGAGGGACCTATTTAGTATTCTGTGCAAGAATGGGGATTCACAATTGATCTACTAAAAAATAATTAAGATCTATATAATGAAAATATGTGCTTGTGTTAAATCCAGATAGCGAGATAAGTGTTGAGTCATATAAGTGCAGTATTAGACCTTTCTACTATGCAACATCTCAAACTGATCACCACATGTACATGAGTCCAGAGATACAAGCATATGTTGCTATGTCCAATTCAACTAGAGGATCCATAGTATGACGCATAGGCAACATAGGAAATCCAAATTTTATTCTGGACAAAAGGAATTGTAGCATCTCAAGCATACCCCAAAAATTTCAAAAACAAAACTGATTTTCTAATGTCATAAATCAAGTAACGTTGCCAGAATCGAGGGCAAATAACAATGTTATTTAGCAAGTTGCTGTAGTGTCATGGCGATAAAGCTCCGAGGGGGCAGAAGCAACATGAGTTTCTAAACAAAGATAAATATAATCTCTGTGCAGTCAACGTGATATGTTGCAAGTAATTGTCAGTGACCAAACAAAAACAATAAATCCTCAGGTCTGGTACCAATGCACAAAAAGTAACTCTGCCATATTAATGCCAACTTTAAACTTTTTGTGTTGGAATAACTATTTCCATATGCTAAGTTTTCTATTAATTGCATTCAAAAACTTAGCCAGTGCTCAAACAGACTGGAGAGTCTGGCAACAACACTGAAGCAATGGTGGAGTGACAAAATTGGCAGTCCTGACCCCCCAGTGATTACAAATCATCAACTACGCAACATGGAACATTTTTAAAAGCGCTGCTGTCAGGTTTAGACAACAAAGCCCTCAGCCCACTGCAATCCGTGTTTCTAATCAAGCAGTATGTGGGTTTCCTGCAGCAGGCTATTTTCAATCTTCTTAATAGATAAATGACTGTGAATTAAAGGTCAGAGAATAAACAATGCCAGTTCTTGAGATAAAGTATACAAGAGTGACAAAATGAAAAATGGATTGTGTTCAAATAAAAAACATATGCAGTCATGCAGGTTAAATTAAAAGATATAAGTTATCCAGTTTTGATCATATTGATATAGCTTTCAAGAATAAAAATGACAGGTTTAAGTGGAGTAAACATACTGGATTTCATGCATCTTGTAGGACATGAGAAATCTAACATTTCAAGTTTCTAACATTGTTGATGATAAGGTGTGAACAAGTAAACACTGTCTTACTGATGGAGTAATGATATTCAAATAATTATTTGGGATAACATCTGAGTGGAATAAGCGCATGTATCAGCAGAATATTTGAAGAGAAAAAATTGCATATTTTACGATTAACGATTCTGGTTAAATCTTATTTTTTCTTTTCGATAGCACATTGTGAATCACGTCCTCGCAAAGCTTGAGCTCATTATGTCCTCTGCATCTTAAATACATCCACATTTTCCTCAACTGGTGGTATTATCTTATAGCCAATTGTTATAATAACAATCCTAAATAGCATCGACCCCAGTACATCTTCTATGGACACCTGGGCAAAGAAAAAAAGCAACGTGCCCCAAACCTCTACCGAGGGGTCTGTCACTAGCAAATAGGTATGCTAACAAAGCCTATCAAATGGAGTAGAATTCTGAAACAACTTGGTGCAAACTAGCTGTGCAGTGAATGACATCTTCAGATAACATTGACCTGCTCAAGCCATCGATTTCTGGACCGGATGACCTACCAAGTACCATACAACTTAAGAACACAAGAGCGATCCAACTCTGCTCAAGCATCTATCGGAATGATACGGATACGCGGATACGGTAATTTACTAAAAAAAAAAACCATACGCAGATAAGTTTATTATTTAAAAAATGAAATTAAAAGAATAATAATGCAGGTCTGAATTTAAAACTGATAACAATAAAACGTTGCAATTAACTACTTAGTACTATTATTACACCACAGCAGGTCCCAAGTCTCCTCAACTCTCAAATATAGTAGTCTCAAATTTAGGAAATTAATAAAATGCATTTAGGCTTGAAATTCATGCAGCAGCAAGTTCCTATTCCTCATTTGTCTCATTCGTTTCATTGTCATCCACAACATCAGCCTGCGGAGCATCCAAACCAAAAGTCACAGCATACAAGCAATCAAGCAACAAGAAGTCACTAACTGCACTGCAGAAATAGAACAGATCGAGAATGGGGAGAGGAAGACGAAGTGGGGAGCAAAGAAATCAAGCAACAAGCGGCCACCAACTGAAGAAGAAGAGCAGATCGAGAACGGGGAAGGGGATTAACTCACGGGAGTTCGCTGGAGCCTCGATCCACGTCGTAGGGGCGGAAACTCGTCGCTGGCGGCCGACGAGTAGGGACGGAGGCTCGTCGCCGGCGAGCGGAGGCGGAGGCTCGTCGCCGGTGGCCGGCGAGCGGGGTTGCGGCGTCACCGCGCGGGGATGCGGCGCGAGGCGCGGGCGTGTGGGAGTGCGGGCGTCGGGGACAGGGGGAGATGCGACTGACTTACTGGGCTGGGCCGTATCGGCTAGCCAGATACCTATCAGAAGATGTACAGTCGCGCTCGTGTTGGAGCGCGCGACTCCCGGCCTGCGCTGTGCGTCCACGTCCGCGCGTACGGTCGTACGGTGGCATATAGGCCAGGCCGTATGCCTGATGCGGCCCGAGTTAGCAGCCTATATGAACATGAAGTGGGCCGGACCGAAAACGTTGAAGCAGGTTTAAAATACGCATTAGTTTGAATCGGCCACTGATGCTAATCATGAAAGAAAATCGTGATGAAGCATGCCTACCAATCTTCTTGTACCTGCGCATTCATTTAGTTTCAGTTTGATGAGTTTTTTTTAAAAAATTTATTTTCAGTTTTCAATATTTTTTCAGTTTCATTTTTCAGAAAAAAATTTTCCAGTTTTTTTAGTTTCAGACACTCTTTTAAGTTCCAATGTCTTGGTAAATCCTATACATTTATTGCCTCACCTACAATGTATAAGTTCTTACAAAAAGGTAACCATTGCACACATAAGTTGACAACAAAATTTGCCCCCCCCCCTTCAGTTTTTAGTCAAGTTTTTTTTCCATTTTTTAGTTTCAGTTTTCAGTCATGTTTTTTAGTTTTGATTTTCAGTCAAGTTTTTTTTTTAGTTTTTTAGTTTTATTTTTCATTCATTTTTTTAATTTTTGTTAGTTTTAGATTTCAGTCACCCTTTCAGGTTCGTTTGTTTTCCTAAATCCTGCAAATTAGTTGCCTCACCTATAATGTATAAGTTGTTACAAAAGGGTAGCCATTGCACACATAAGTTGCTACAAAAGAATTTGCCCCTAGTTTCAGTTTTCAGTCAAAGTTTTTTAGTTTCATTTTTCATTCAAGTTTTTTTTTAATTTTGTTAGTTTTAGATTTTAGTCACCCTTTTAGGTTCGAATGTCTTTCTAAATCATATAAATTAGTTGCCTCACCTATAATGTATAAGTTGTTACAAAAGGGTAGTCATTGCACACATAAGTTGCCAAAAAAAATTTGCCCCTAGTTTCAGTTTAGTCAAGTTTTTTTACTTTTTAGTTTTAGTTTTCAATCATGGTTTTTTGGTTTCAGTTCTCACTCACCCTTTTAGGTTTGAGTGCATTCCTAAGTCCTACATATTAGTTGTATAATAATTTACCCTCTAAGTTGGCACCTTATGCAATACTTCATCTAATAATTTGCCACTTAGGGTGAAGCTTGTCTTATTTTGGGCTGTCAATCTTGTTTTTTAATAAATGTCCCTCCATTTGTCAGCTAGTCATGTTTCCCGTCTCATATAGGGGGTTATATAATAACTTGCTCCTTTAGTTGGCAGCTTATGCAATGCTTGTTCTAATACTTTGCCCCCAAGTTGTATCTTATTTTGTTTTGTGCCGCTACCCTTATTTTTTAATAAATGCCCTCAATTGACAGTAAGTCATGTTTTTCTGACTTTTGTAATGTTTATTTTAATAATTTGCCCCTTTATGTTGCATCTTGTCTTGTTTTGATATGCTTCTCTCTTTAGAGGTCAGTGCCTTTATGTAAAATACGATAGAATAAATTTATTATATTCTCATGGTAACGATTGATGTGCATACTATGTAAAAACTTTAGTTTATTCTTGAAGTAGCAAGTTTAGTATTACATGGTAGAAACTTATTTCATAAATCTCTTATTATATTTTTACATAAATTGCTACTAAAAAAATCTTCGAAACATACGTAAGTGGGGTCTAATTTTGTTCGTCTCACCATATAGAACACACCGGTGCAGATATAATTGAAAATGGGTACACCATTTGCAAGTTATAAAAATTTAAAATAAACATTTTGTTCTCTTCTAGCATGCGTCAGCGTGACATGCAACTAAAGCGACATGTGCGCCTTGGACCGCTGGTTAAAAAATGGATAGTGGCGATGGGGCTCGTGCATGCCTTAGACCGCTGGTTGAAAACGTAAGTGGCCAGAGCACACTAGTGGGGCTCGTCGTCAGACACTCAGACAGATACCAGGACGTCCGCGTGAAAGCAGGTCGCGCGCTTCCCTGATAGCGCGATGGGTCGCGCGTTATCTGCATCCTTCACGAAAATAACAAAAAAAAAAAACAAATACTCTGAGGATGCATATCCATGGCGTATCGGACATGTATCCGTATCCGAAATGTATCGGACATGCGATACGCGCTGCTAGGGACGTATCCGTGTAACGTAGAAGTATAAGTCAGGGAAGGAAAACAAAGGAAATGAGAAACCAATCATTCATGGAGAGACCTATTTAGTATTCTGTGCGAGAATGAGGATTCACATT